TGAAAAAGCAACTCTCCCTGCTCGACTCCTCTCCCGCACACACACTTTGCTCCGCCCCCTTCTTCCTGCTTTGACGTTGTTTGTTGCAGTGCGGTCACGTGACACAGCTGTACACATGTAACTACGTGAGGTGCTTTCCAAAAGTACCTCCTATCTCCTTTTCCTAACCTAACATGAAAACGTCATTGTGGAAAGGAGAATTGCTAAGGACTCAGAAAAAGGGAAGAGCAGTGCTGAGAATATGAACAGCTTTACACTCGTCTCTCTTTAACGGTGTGACGCCGCATGTCCGCCTGTTGAAACTACAATGTGCAGAAGATGGACTACAAAACAAACATCTTACTTCTTCACAATGTGTTCTAACCCTGTTGTTTTATGGAGGTCATATAAACAATAACAACCTGTTAAATCCCTTAATTCAAACTAATGAATATCAATTCATTAGTTTGAATTTTAAAGAAGAAGGAACATTTAGGGTCAGATTTACAAACATCTGCAGCAGCTCAAACACTTCTAATGATGTTAAAAAGCTGCTGGATTTACTGAAGAGGCTCAGTGTCAGTTTGTGACTCAAAGTTATGACATATTTTCAACATATATTCGAGACTGAATTGGGCTGGCTATAAACTGGGACCTGTGAAGACTTGTCGGGCTGCTCTAGGGAGGATAGATGGTTTGAGCGGGACAATAGGTGGAGTTTTTGTGAGACAAGCAGTTTGAATTTAGGTGGGTGTTTTGGCATAATCTGATGTGGAGCTAGCTAAGGTGCTCTGAGACGGGAGTTTGTTTATAAAATTTAAAAATGCAGAACAAAAGAATAAGACACTTAAATTGCAAATGGTTTGTTAAAAGGAAGTCATGGAAAGGAAAATAGTGGGTGAGTAGAAAGGAGGAGGAGGGATTTCAGTTGTTCTCCATTGAGGAAAATGATCAAAGGAGGAGAGATCACTGGAATAAAAAAGACTAAAAGCTGTTAGAAATGGAGAAAATGTGGATAGTCTGTCAGTACTGCTTGAGATTCAAGGTAATACTTTGATAGACAAAGTCATGGTGGGATACATGAGTTTTAGTGTCTGTGTTTATGTGCCTCCTCCACTCAGGTGCTATAAATGTCAGATGTTTGGTCACATAGGTAGTGCAAGTATTGGGGAAGTGATGAACTGAAGCTTTTCATCCAACTGGTCGACTCTACTGCGCCATCAAGTGGACGATTCAAGTGAAACAGGCTCTTTAATCATAATTATGTGATTTGTAAACCTCTAAACTGAATAAATAAATAGTTTTCATGGTTATTTATCCCAAATATTGTCTCAGTATGTCTAATACAAAAGACAAAGTGGAAACTCTCAGCACAGAGTTTTAGTATGAATGTGTAACTGTGCCATCATGCTTATGTACATCTGGATAATGACACAAACTAGCGTGTGGCGCTTCACTTTTTAGTAAACTAAAAGACAGAAATCAGATTATAGGATCTGTGGTGTTGTTTATTTATATTATGGTGCTTATTTAGCACTTATTTATTTGTTATATTTATTACTGTGTGCATACTTTATTAGAAAAGATGAGATTAAAAAAAAATCTCTTCCTTGCTGGTTCCATCAAAGAAGAAATGGTCAAGTAACTATGTAACACGTACGTAATCCAGTTCCACAACATAGTGTGATGGGAAATCAGCTGTGTTTTGCTGCCCATTTTAATTCGAATCTGGCGCGAACCGGCGAGCCACTTCCTGAATTAGTCACGTGGTACGGACTGCCCGCGAGGCCTCGAACGTCACTCCATACGTAATCAAAGCGAGCCTCGATACACGCTTCACAAAAACTCCCCCAAGATTACCCGACACATGCTTCAAAGCTTCGACACACAGGACACATCACTAGTGATCAGGTTAAATGTTGTAAAGTTTCCAATATAAAAACTTAAATTTGTTACAACTACAGTAAAAAACAAAGAAACTATACAGTCAGAACCTTTTATGTAATTTTACATTTATTTCTTATAACATCATAAAATGTTCATTAAGCCAACAGTTTTATTACCAGATAATTTTAATGTCTCCCGAATCTTTAAGGGGTGATTGAGATTGTGTGATTGAGATTGTTGTCTCTGTAAGAAAATGATCACCTTTGACTTTTCTAATGACAACTGTGCATGTGTCACACAGCTGCTTGAAAAACAGACGATCAGTGATCAGTGTGGAGGTCAGTTCTCCGGGCTTTGGCCCATGCCATGTTCTGCTCATGGAGTAGTTTAGATAGATCAGAAGTAAACCGTGCATTAGCTCAACAATGATTTTCTTTACATGTCCATAAAGGGATACAACAAAATAAAGAAGAATTCAACAACATGAAATGGAAAATTCAATAAATGCACAGTATAGCAGGTTCCCTCTCAGTGCAGCCAGCTGGATGAGGTTTACTGATCAAACCACGACAGAGAGATTCTACATTCGGGTAAACCAATCTACAAGAAATGACACAAAAATAAAAAATTATAGGATCCGGTTCAGGTGAGTTTGTGATTCAACAGTTTTTATTTATCATCCGAACAAACACAAAAACATAACAAAGAAGCAAAAGAAAGGGAATCGCATACAGTTA